GTAACTATAAAAAATAAATATAGATCATAAATGTCAATATATATATCTATATATATCCATCTTACTTAAACCAAGCTAGCTGGTAAACTGTAACTATAAAACATTAAATATAAATTTTAAATGTTGCTATATATTTTCACCAGACCCCAAAAATTGTTTCAAAAAAACAAACACATTTGTATAGTGGATCTGAAAATTMTCTAAGAAAGATCATTTAAAAACTTATTGATAGCAATCTTTGCCCTGTGCTCTTTTTTACCCAACAAAATTGTTTCTAAAAACATAAACACATTTCTAAAATGGAACTGAAAATTAATATTAAAAATGTAATATGCTCCTAACAGCATTATCAAGRCATTTGAGAYCTTTGTTGTGTTTTGCAGTTTTAAGATTACTTGTYTTTCGGACACTATGTAGAATGGCTCCAGTTGCCCATAGCTGCCCCCAGCAACAATTCTGGGGAAGTCTGTTCCCTCTATCTCATCATCTAGTGATTCATCATCTTTGAAAACAAATTCAAAAAAGAATATCAAAACATGAATTTCAACAAAAAAATCATACACGCAAACAAAATAATGAAAATTAATATTTTTTGGTGGGATTGTTGTTTTTCAAAGAAAAAAAGTACTTACAGAACAAATCTTGATGAGCTGATCTTTGCAGGTTTTGGTCTTTAGCAACCTTTCTAACACGATGACTGCAGCGGTGTCTTCTATTTCTAACATGTAGAGAAAAAAAAACAGCATTAGTGTTGAATATCAAATTTAAAGTTGATCATAATGACAGAGTATAAATATTCTGCATTTTAACTTTGTTGTTGGGAAAAAGGCAAAAAATTATTTCAWCTCTTATATAACTGTAGTTGTTACCAAAGCCGAGTGTTAAACTCCCCTGTAAACATCTTCATGGATTTCTTACTTTTCATCTCAATCAGACTGATATAAAAAGGCAGACTTAAAAACCTAATTGTCTGTAATGTTGGTCCAATTGAGATGAAAATTAAATATATATTTTTTGAAATTTAACATGGTACGGCGAGTCTCACAGTTAAGATGTTATAAGCTTGAGGAAAACCACATTTCTGAGAGAACAAACTGCCAGACATACCAAATATTTAAATCATGAAAGAATGACCAATATATTATACCAACCTTTYCTTTTCTCCGGACTGTCTTCCAATCCTTCCTCCATCGCATCTACTATTCTTTTGCAGGATGCATTGGACCTGGCTAATTTCAACAGCTTCCCTTGCCATTTATCTGTCCATATTTCACAACATTTTCTTATTGGCATGTTNTGTGGGCAGTTTGAATTGTGCAATCCAGTTTTCTTTTACATCTGGGTTAGTTTCGGTAAATGCTGGTTTTGGAACAACAGGGAAAATATCACTCGTAGGGGAGTCAGCTCTTGAGGATGGTGAAGATGATTGATTGGATGAAGATGGAGTCAAGGTATGCTGATTGGGTGTTGATTGAGCTAAAGGCCGAGATAAATGCTTTGAAGGTGATGGTGTTGACGTTGGTGTGACTGGAACAGAAGAAACCTGCAAAAAAACAGAACAGCTATTTGAAGATGCAATGTTGAAATATATTTCAAACTGTTATTACTTCAATGTGCAGGTAAKTATGGCTCACTACCAGACAACAAATTGTAACTTTTGCTCGAGTTAGACGACTAACTTACCTCAATAGAACTAATACCGTCTGTTGTTGGAATTAGGTTTGTGATTGTCTTTCTAATACGTGCAATTTGTCCCCCTTTCAGCCCAAGACTTCGAAAAACTTCATCTGAAGAGTGCCGTAGCACTTCAAGAGAATCCAGCTGCAATCMAGCAAAATATGACAGTTTTTTAAGTAAATCAGGAATTCTGTTAACATTTATATTCATTTTGTGGGAGTATTCATTATAAATGATGTAAACTAAAAGACAGCAATCTGTTCAGGAACATTTGCCAACATAGAAAGGTCTTTTGATTTAGCATTCCTCATTCTTGTTTTTCGATTTTCGTCCTGTAACCTCTGTTGCATATCTAAATTGAAATAAGCACTGAAAACTGCAGCAGTGYTTAACAATAATCCTGTATCTTTTTCGCGGGACACTAGCTTTGTATCTAAGCTTATTTGACTGTTAGCTTACCTCGTCRTCAACAAGTATTGTAAGAACTTCATGCTTTACTCCGTTGGAAACTAAAGCTTCATACAATTCAGAACCCATTGCCTTAAAGGAATAACAAAATATGGATTAAAACAAGAATGCATAATACTACAGCGCTAACTCAAAAATAAAAGAAAGTCTAAACTACAATAAGACTAAGGAATAAGGCGACATAGCCCACACGTGGTTTTTGTTTGCTATATTATCTAGATATCTTCATTTTAGAAGATGGCAAAATWCTYTTATCCCTCCTTTGACGCACAGAAAACAMAAGATAAGATTCAGCYGAGGAAAACTAGTTTCGTCTTTACTTAGACCTTTTCGATTCCTTTACAACTGTTGTATGCGCTTCAATTTGAAATCACAAACAGCGCGCGCAAACTATGTAGATAATTATCTAGATAATTAAGCATTGCACAGCCAAATTTACCTTCACAATAGACTCCTTTGACAATAAATCGTCCATTTCAAGATT